GCGCGTATTTTCTTCGTGAAAACCGTAACCGTAAATTTTCTTATACAGTAAAAGTTTATCGGCCAAAAACTTCCCAACGGTCGACAAGAGGCAGATTGGCAGATTTCCGTTGAGAAACATTTAATTGCATGCATGATATATATTCTGGAATCTTGTTGGGCGCCTTACAAGTTGCAGACCCAAATAGAACACAATATCTTTCTGAAGAATTTCAATACTGCACCTAGCTATAACTAAGTATTATTGCTTGTGGGGGGTACAGACATTCTGTCTTTAGGAATTGAAAGGTTTTGCCGCCCTTTCTCTGAACAAAGAAAATTAAAAACAAAATACTTCGGCGGCGTTTATTATAAAAATATACTAATTAAGCCTTTTACAACGTAAGTACAGAAGCTATATAGGAAATTCTAGCCTGGATATTGTCAGTTTTAAATTCTTCTCCCTAAAGGTCCAGTAAGGACTATCTTTCACGATATTTCTCTGAAGAATTTCAATACTGCACGTAGCCATAACTAACTATTATTGCAAGCTTGTGGGGAGTACAGACATTCTGTCTGTACAGGAATTGAAAGGTTTTGCCGCCCTTTCTTTGAACAAAGACGTACAACAGACGTTACAACGTAAGTACAGAAGCTATAGGAAACTCTAGATCTAGCTTGTATATTGTCAATTTTAAACTCTTCTCCCTAAAAGTCCAGTAAGGACTATCTTTCATTGGTTGAGTGTGTTACCAGCCACAGAAGGAAACTTTACTAAACCAACTTTATAAATCAAGAGCTCATGCTTGCTGCATAACTGAAAAGAATCAACAATATACAGCCAATTCAAAGAAGGTCGTCGTTTGAAAAACCTTAATTAAACTCTATACCTTAAACATTAAACTTTACTGACCGCGTAAAGCTTAATGGGAGCACAAGTTTCAAGCTTATAAGTAGTTGAATATTGCAGCTATTTGTGAATAAATTGTTCTCGTAAGGAGATATTTACCATGTTGGGCCCTATACCGCTTTCTAAACTGTTCCCGTTATGCTTTGCACGCTTAGAATTTAAGGTTTAAGGTTTAGAGTTTAAGGTTTTTCAAAGGAAAACCTTTTTTGAATTAGCTGTTTATGGTTTGAAATCTTTCATCATTTTTAACCTTTGGCGAGACTATACTACCTTATACTTTCCATATCTTCACTAGTGAAGATATCGATCACGTGACTTTTAGTATTTATACAATTTCTTGCTTGTGACTATATAATAAACAGAACATTACACGGTGGCTTGAAGATCTGACTTTTGTATTCTCGTGTTAAAAACAATATTTTACTCACTCGCTGCGCTCGTTCGTAAAATATTGTTTTCACCACTCGAAGATAAAAGTTATATCTTCGCGCCGCAGACTATACTAATATTTTACTCCCTTGCATAATGCCATAGATTTATTTAATTTACCTATCTCGAGAACGAAAAAAGATAAGCTAGAAAAGTTGTCCAGTGAACTTATTTTACAGTTTTACCATGCATGCTCTTTCTACCTAAAACACTGACTTGAATTTCGTTGCCATTGCAGTAAACTCGCCTGTTTTCATGGCCATGCCCATGGGCAAATGTCACAGAAGACAAGACTTTGTATAGAAGCATTTACGTCAACATTGAGGCAATTACGCCAAAGCTAAATAAAGATTTAAAGAGTTTCGAAATATTTTTATTTGCCGTTTATTTCAAGCATTTTGTGTGTGTTTTTTTTCCAATAATTAATGTATTGTGCTTTTCAAAGATATTTCGTTATCTCGATACCATTGGCATAAAGCTTATTAATAATATCCTTGACCTTGTAGCTTTGCGTGGTAAAAATAGATATAATTGTTTTGTTTTGCATGTGAACACGTTCATTTCTTTGTCTCAGCTTTGGCGAAGCTTTCGACCCAAGATCGTTGGTGCTATGAGTAATTTAACACATTGGTGAAGATCCATGCAGGCTTACATATCAAAAGCTAGTAATATACAAATAATGAATGTTTACGAGTGCAATGGTAAGAATATTTTCATGAGGTGAAAGATGGAATGTTCCATTCAACGAGGCGACAGCCGAGTTGAATGGAACATTCCATCTTTCACCGAATGAAAATATTCTTACAATTGCACGAAAAAACATTCATTATTTGTTTTATATATAAATATAGATTCGTATGAGAAGCATTTTGAGGGATGCGATTTATCGAAAACACAAAGAGTGCAATTGCACTATACGTTTTATTCCACTGCACTCGCAGAGAGTGCAATGGAACGTATTCCTTTGCACTCTTGGGAAATGGAATTTTCTATTCAATATCACGTGACCATAAACAGCCAATTAAACGATCAGAATTCAATAAGGTATTATATAATACAAAATAAACGTGATGTTTCCACAAATACCAAACAAATATATTTCCGGCACTATGCAATGATACAAGCCTTTCGTGGCGAAATTGAAACTTATATAGTAATACTGAGTATATATTAAATGAAGTAATCTAGTTTAATTTAGTGTCTTCTTACACTGGACCTCGACGAAGAACAGGTAAATCACTGACTAATGCAGATGGAATTCCAAAATAAACTGATATCAGGAATGTTGACAACGAAGAATGAAGTATATTTTGCAAGAATATCAGTGTTAAGGAGTAAGGACAAATACAAGATCTAAACTAAACAAACTAGTGTTCTCTAGTATAAATACTTTCAGCCCAGTTTAATTAAGTTTCGTCCGGTATATATAGTTGCAATGGAAAACTATAGACCACTGTGAGAACATCAGTTTAATCTACAATAAATAAAGCTATCCTGAATAACTGCAAAAAAGGGACTTTCAAAATCATTCACGAGATACTGTATATTCCTGCTGTGATGCTTTCTCTACTCTTTCGACAGCCTTTCAGTGGTCTAGGTGATAAATATGGTTTAAAATAGCCCTTGCTACCCCAAAGAGTATAACACGTGGTTATCACTTATGACTCACGTGACCACACCACACCAGGGTCTCTCCGTAGCAGGGGGGGGGGGGGTGAGCGGAGGTTGGAACACTGGAAAGGAGGTTGGCCAGGGTTTTTACTTCTGCACCCAGAGGAAGTGACAAGTGGGCGTAACCTGTATGATAAATTCAAGATGGCGGCTCAACCGGGCAAGAAACCTATAGCAAGTATTACGAAAGGTTTTTTGACTTTTTTGGTGATTTTATTACATCGAAGCCCGTTTGATCAGACTTTACTACCAAGAACAGGTTGAACAGGTTGTGTTGTGGTGAATTAATATCTAAATATTGGTCGCTGAAGGTTGTATCAGTATGGAACTGGTCATTTGGCCAGTTCGAGTGATTTGTTTGGGTTTGGTTAGTTCGAGTGATTTGTTTGTGTGGGTAAGTTACACACATTTTTGGCAGTCAAATAATTAAGACCATATAAAACAAATATGAGAAAATTTGACTTAAATAATGAGCCCTCTACAAGTGAAATGAGCAGGGCCGAAACTCCACAAACATACCAACGTATAACTGAAATTTGGCAGATCACCTTAAAATTGACTAGCTAAGTGAATTCTGCACTTTCCTTTGATTGGCTAGCTAAGGTCACCATTTCAATACGATTGCACGGTTTAAAAATGGCCTTTGTAATGCATTTGTAAGAAATATGCAAACTGTTCCCGAAGCTTTTATGACTTCATTGCTCTCACTTCTAAGGATTTATCCTTAGAAACAGGAATTTTGCAAAGTTTAAGGAATGATAGTTTCTAAGGAATTCCATTTTTTAAGGATTTTGCTAAGGAGTTTTGAGATCTCAAACATTTAGTCTTTAAACTGTTTATATCATGTTTGTTGACACAAACATTACAAATTTACTCTTAATATTTTATTGAAACATATTTCAAAATTAAAAAAAAAAAGATTTATACTTTTCCTCAAGATCTTGGGGATCAAAACCTTTGAATTATGATTGGAGGCTCCATTGCTGCATGTGGCACGTCTTACAGATGGTTTGAAAATACAGGGCGCATTATTATTAGAATAGCTGTCTTGAGGGCTATCGCAAGCTGTAATAGATGTGCTCTGCAGATTCAGTATGGCGGAAAATACCATAGGGCCAAGTTTCATTTAATTACCAAATCTTAATCAATTTCTGGAACAGTTCTTTGGACCCAGTAACATCAACTCTTTTTTGGAATAAAATGAAAAGGCCTGTAATTGACACTGGAATGGTTGGGAATATTGAAAAAATATTTGGCAAGGGTGTTTCTGACATGGAATTAACTTTATGCATATGCCGGATTCTAAGGCAATCCATGAGATAAAGTTAAATCACCTTGATGATTTGAGCTGGAATATGACCCTATGATGGTTTCAAAATTTATGGGTATCGAAAGTTATATTAATTTGGCTGTAAGTTTAGGTATATTTTACATGCTCCTAACTGTATGTTACTAATGTTAGTGCATGCGTAAATCAACGAATTTCATACTTTTAAACTTACTTGCACCTCTCGTCAAATTTGCGCAGGAATCTACTATGGCAGAATATAAGCCTCTACTATCGCAGAATAGGCCTCTACTATATCGCAGAATAAGCCTATACTTTAATAACCCCAGCGACTAAACGCTGAATAGATCAACAGAGCTTCTTGCTTTTTGCGGGTATTTGCGTTAAAGATATGTCAATTAATTTGCGAAAACAGATATGCTATTTTGTTGTACGAAACTCATAAATCTGAACAACCTACATCGATCGGTCGCTAAAATCGACATTCTGTCGACTATAGCAAAGGAGACTGGCGCGAGTTTCGTAGATGTTAAGAATAGTGTGCTGCCTTGCTGCCGCTCGGCAGTTGACAAGTTGCTTACAATATCTATCAGCATTTTTGGGTATCTCATTCGATTGAATTGATTTTGAACGAATTGTTGATGAAATTTCGAATGTAAATTTGTATATATCCATTAGTCTAAGACCTAACTAGGAACACCTGCACAAAATCCAATTATGGGCCCTCTCGCAGGAATTGAACCTGCGGCCCTGCGTTTCCGGGCCAGCGTTCTCACCAACTGAGCTGCAGAATCTAGCTGTTGTCGGGCTTTAACTGCAATTGTTTATGGAGGATTGGAATGAAATTTACTTGAGAGTGAAATGAATTAAACATATTTTTTTTATAAATCTGACCGAATTCTCTTGAATTTTCCTAGCAGTTGCCTAAATTTCCATAGTTTTCTAAAAAAAATGGGGGAGGCGGCGCTTCCCCTGTCTCGTACGCTTATGTTATTCAATTGAACTAATGTTAAAGGATTCTAAACTTGCGGTTAGAACTTGACAACTGGACTTTGTAGCTGAAACGCGTTTTTAAGATGGGGCCTGGTGAACGCATATAAATCAAAAGCAATTAACAAGCTTTCGTTGGTAGGAATGCAACTACATAATTGATAAATATGAGGAGAAGTTAGACGATTCGGGCGAAGGCCCTTCGTCTGGAAGACGTCTGGAGTTTGTCGCGTGGGTTGTGAATCGCAGGGCTGCAAGTTCGATTCTTGCCAGGGGGACAGTCTAGTTGCAATTTTCGCAGCTGCTCCTGGTTATGTATAAATAAATGTGTATAAATTTAAACTCGAAATTTCCATCTACAAAATCCTTGCAATAACGACTTTATGTATATATATTCTGGAAGATATGGAAAGGTTGTTCGGAGCAAATATATTGCTATTATGTTTACCAGACTTATCCTGGAATGATGATCCCGAATCTTTTTGCATGGATATATATGACCAAGCGTCCCAATCTCCAGTCGTTATTTTAAACACATCAGAGTGGCTGACCTACCCAAAGCTTTGCACATCGTCGGATTCATCCATATAGGGGTTATATATTTCAAGGACGATCAGGGCTGGCACGGGCAAAGGCCGGTTGTGGGCATAAGCTGAGCCTGGGTTTTCTGTGGGCTTACCAGTCATCAGTGGCCCTGTCAGCTCGAGAATTGGGGGGGTGGGCGAATATTCGTATCTTCGTGTTCATAATATTAACTTCTTTTGAAATCGATTTTTTTATGGTCTGTGAACACAGTATATATGAATATTTGCCCCCCCCCCCAATTATCGAGCTGGCGGCGCCACTGCCAGTCATCAAGTTTTACCAAAATTTAAACCAACTCAAAGTGCAACTCTCATCGACTTTCAT